TAGCCAATCCTGGAAACTTCTTTGATTCTTCTGGATGTGAGGAGGGTGGCATTTTCGTTGGAGAGAAGAAATAAGGAATGGTAAACAATGTCAACATGCTGGGTAATACATTAGATCTGTTTTTAGTCTTTGCTTTTTAATCTACAGATCTGTATGACCTAGATCATTGATTGACTGTAAAAGTTTTCTTGTATACTGTGAACATTAAAGTGTAAACAAAGGAGGGTTGGGGAAAGCATCTCAGAGGTCATATTTTCCAGGTCCCCTTCCTTTCTATAGCATCTGTTAGGGGCAAAACCTAACCTGCTACTGCCTCTGAGCTTCTAGTAAGAGAGAAGAACCGGTTCTAAGTGTGGAGAATTTTTACATCCAAATCCACATCTCTGTGGGTCAGTCCAGTGATTCAAGTTTGATTTGCAGAAGCTGCACAAAATGTCTTGTTTTATTTTCCACATGAAAGCTCTTCAAATAGTTGAAGACATTCATCACGTGCCTCTGATTCTTATTTTTCCTAGGCTTAAAACATGCTGAAACATCCCCAATTCTTTTAAATCTTCTTTGCATGAACTTGTCAACTAGACCTGCTAAGTCTTTTTTTTTTTTTTTTTTTTTTTTAAGTCTGTGAGTTGCTCTTAAGTCAAATCTTCCACGTCCTCATATGGTTGATTATTTTGAATCTATATAGAGCTGTCATCTGGAAAGTGATAAAATATGGGTAGGAATATATTTTGAAAAGTTTAAAGCAGTTCACCCATGCAAATAATTGTGTCTCTATCATTATCTGCCTAAACCTTTTGCCAAGTTAATCCCAACACCTTAATATGATGGGGTAGATAAAGACTTCTTGGATTTCCTTCTTCCTTTAGTATATACTCAAGTAGTAAATTTGTTGATTGTTACCATTACTTTGTCCTTTGTGTTCCTTCAACCCGTTGCTAACATGGAATGAAGTAGAACTTTTTGAGAGCTACCTGTGTTCTAAGTACATTATCTGCATTACCTCAATCATTGAATAAAGTAGATGTTAATTTGCACATTTTGTATAAAGAAACCAAGTCTAAGTGGTTAAACCAGTTAGCCAAGTACCCCTAAAAATTATTGTCAGACTGTCTTCCTACCTCCCAGTTTTCTATTTATACCACCACTTTGTGCTCACTCTGTTTTATTTCATACTTATTTTATGTAGATTTGCAATGTATTTGCTGGTGATCTTTCTTTTCAATAAAAATAGTGAGATCACTGAGGGCAGGGATTATGTAGTATAACGTTTTGTATTTTCCTTAGAACGAAGTAGAGAGCTTTGGTTTCTAATACTACAAATAACACACTCTCTTAAGGTCCCTTAAGGCCATATGCCAGATGGCTAGCGACAATTTTGTTTAAGTTCATAGTTTTTTTTGTAAGTCAGCATTCATTGGATAGAACATTATCCAAGATTTGAATGTATAGGTGTGGGTAAGTCTGTGCAAGTGTTTGTATATGTATACGAGTGGTTTACAAAAACTTTAGAATAAATGTTTTAACAAATTTTGATAAAACTGGCTGTACTCAGAGCCTTTGCTCCTTATTAAACTCAACTACACAAGTGACATTAAATAAAACAAACACATGAAATAGAAGAAGGGCAAATTAGTCCTAACCGGGATAGTTTGAAATTACTGACTACAAAATTGTGGCAGTGTTTTGAGAAAACTTGTACTAAACATTATCAACTTTCCCAAAATTGGGTTTATACCTTCTGAACTTAGAACTAAGTGGCCATTTTAACATGTTTTTAAACAACAGCAAAAAAAATTAAGGCAGAGTTATTTGTGTTGGGCAGGCTTTTAGGCAAAGTTTCAACAAATTAGGCTTTGACATTTTGGTAAATGTTAAAGTATCTCATGGCACTTTAATAGGAATTAGGATTTTTCTTGCCCCTATTTTACTGTCCAAAAATTTGGAGACTTGGCAGAAAACCTTGGGAAAACTAAAATTCCACTTCTCTCAATATGATATTACTCATCCTAATTTAAAGTAAACAGTAAAAAGGAAGATTTAAAGATAAGCTATGGATACAATTCTTTCCATATAAATAATACTGTTTTTTTTAAAAAAATTACCAAGAGTAGGGTAGAATTAGTTAATTAATTAAAATTAAATTTTATGAGAGTCCATAGTCTCTCATGATTCGTCTCCCCCTCCGATTTACCCCACTTCATTTTTCCCTTCCTGCTATAGTCTTCTTCTTTTTTTTTTTAAACATATAATGTATTATTTATTTCAGAGGTATAGATCTGTGATTCAATGGGTATTAAAGAGGGCACGTACTGAATGAAGCACTGGGTGTTATATGCAAACAATGAATCATGGAATACTGCATCAAAAACTAATGATGTAATGTATGGTGATTAACATAAAATAATAAAATTTAAAAAATAAATACATTTAAAAAATAAAATTTTATGAGATGCAGATTAACTTCCAATGTGTCATGTTAATTATTGCTTCAAAACACCTGGACATAGGAATTGTAGTATTTTGAAGAGAACAGAGAAAGGCTTTTGGATTATGGCTTGTAAAAGGATCTTTTTCTCCTATCTTAAAAACTGTCATGTGGTATCTGATAAAAGTCCCCTGATTAAAGTGTATGCTGGAAACACAAATGTGGTGTGTTTCCTTACTTCTCCTTTTCTTTGCCTTGTTCTGGTTAAAACCTATGGTTATGGTGTTGGGACACAAAACCTTAGAATATTTATTTGAGTTGAGAGAGTGATTCTGCTGGTATGGTTTTTTTGGGGGTGTAGTGGACAGCTCTCTGGGTGACTGGCAGATTTGTTGATTTCCTGGTTGCAATAGGGCAGAAGCCTACTCCTATATCTTTTCAAATCCTCTGTATTCATGCCTTCTGTCTACATAAATGCTACTTACATCCCTTTGGATAATCCACCTAATCTTGTTCTTTTTGCCTCTGTAGAGTGAGGGTTCTATATATGCCCCAGGGTCTTTATTCCTTTAATTCATCAAAATTTATTTACCATTTGCCCAGCTTCCTCTGTGTTGTGACAAATGGTTGGTTTACTAATCTGCAGTGAATCAACCCAAGCTAAAACACTCAATATATATAAAATAAATATATATGTTAATCCCTTAATGTGTTGCTTATTCTTTTAGGATAGGCAGTTAATGTATTGCCTATTCCATTAGGAATTTTAAGGAGCTGCCAATATGTGAATATCTTAATCCAAGGACATTAGCGTTTGGAAACGATGGTAGGCTGATAGAGGAAGATATTTTGGGGGTCTCTAGATACAACTGAGTACCTTCTTTAATTTTCATATAGAATCTTAACTTGATTATTTACATGATTATCAAAGGTTACAGATCTCCCTTTTACTGGCAACGCAAGAGTTGCACACACTGTCATTAGGTATTATAAAAAAAGTACTTGCCAAAAAAAATTATTTTGAATGATTGCTTGAAGGAAATACAATTATTTATTCCTCTGGAGTCACTGTATTATTCTGGAATAACACCAGGATCTCAGAGGTTTTTAAGTGCATCAGTCATACTGCTTTGAGAGTTCACAGACTTACACTTCACTGTATTCACTGAGATCACTCTTCAGTTAAAAAAGAAATTAAAGCTTATGTGATGTGGCCAAAGCATATTCAGAGGAAAATTAATGGCCTCAAATAAAGAATCATATTATATTACTTTAAGATTCAAAAAAAATTACAAAGAACAATGAAAAGCAAATAAAACAATAAAAGCAGAAAAGCAAAAAGAAGCAATTCCTAATGATAAATGCAGAAATAAATAAATTAAAAAAAAACAATATTGACAAGTTAAAAAAAAAGCTTGTTCTCAAAAAAACTGCAAGGTGGACAAATATATAGATTCTCCATTCTGGAGGGACGGGAGAAGTCAGAAATACACTACTTTAATACTGGTAATGGAGCTGTAACCAAGAAAGATATGTTTTAAATTGAGAGATCATACAATTCTGTGCTAATAAATCTTATAATTAAATATGTCTCAAATATCACAGTAGACATACTAAAAACATTATTTGCTATTTATCTGAAATTTGCCTCAGATCCTTTGTGAAACAATATTGGAGAATGAATGAATGAATATATGAATGAAAAAATGCCCTGGATAGAAGAAAGCTTTTGAGATGTCTTTTTACTCTCTGTGAAAGGACTCAGAATTTCTCCTCGGTAACGGCTTATAATAGAGTTGTGGTCAAGAATTTGTAGACTGGCCTCATAAATTAATACCAACCAGTCTCCCTTGCTTCTTCTCTCTCCATGCTGCTTTTTCCTCCCTCCTTCTTTTCTTCCTTTACTACATTTTTCCCCTTTTCATCTCTCTCTCTTTCTTACAGTTTTTCTTTCATTGATCTCCTCGTGAAAAAGCAAACCTTGGACTTGTTTTTAGATTCACACATGAGAGAAAAAAAAGTTATAAGAAAAGATGAAAGGATTATGGATTTTTCAGCCCAGTGAAATAGAAGCAGAATAGTGATTCCATATTAGCACAAAGTGTTTTTTCACGTTCTTTTTGATTACCAGAGGAAAGGGCCCATATATCATCTTTACTTTGTAGGCAATAGAAGGCAACAGTAGAACTTTTAACTTTATGTGAAAAATGCTAGAGGAACACATTACTGTCAAGGAAATTGTGATTGTCTGATGACAATGGTCATTTTAGGTAAACTTTTGGAATTTATCCATTTGGAAAACTCCCTGGGCAATGTATGCCTTACAAAGAGTCACAGAGGACTTTCTGAACTTCTTTTCCTACATATTTCAGATCATTCTCCCCATTTGCAGCATCATCTCAGAAAATTTTCTTTTATCAGTTTATATTTCAGAGTGAAATATATGGTGCCCTAGGGAATGAATTACTTCCTGACGTTACTAATCCATGTTGGCTTGCTTGCCTGTCCTGGATGACTACATATACTTCATTTGCAGGCTTCTCAAAATCTTCCTCTGCTCTCTATTTCCAGGACTGCTGCTGCATCCCATGTGAAAAGCAGAGGATAAAATGAAGATTTCCCAGTGCAACATGCAAAACTGGCTGTTTCCAGCTCTGCTGGTCATTGCTTATTTTTGCGCCATTGTCCAGGGTCAAGGTAATGCAAAACTTTAAGATAATCATCAGGGCCTGGGACTCTAGGTACATTGGTTCTGATTATTATTTTTTATTTTATTTACCCTAATACTGTTGCACGGGTTCTACTGTGTTTCTAGGCAGGGTCATATGTTGGCTTTTACTCAGTTTTACCAATTGTTTACCTTGTAGAAATGTGCCACAACTTTGATGAGGGTTAAGACCTCACCAGGGACTGGGCATAGTAATTTTGTGGTGGTTTGTTAAACAGCTCATTGTTCACATGCTTCTGAAGAGGCTGTGCAGATTTAATTAGGAAAAGCCAAATTTGCATGCTACAAAATCAGTTCCATTAAGGAGGAGCTATGATGGTTGTGTGTATGTACCCCAGTCATGCCTTGTCTCTTAAATAGAGAGTCTACAAAATATTTCTACCACTTCATACCTGGTCTTTATTATTTTGTTCCTTTCTTAAAACTAGCACATAGTGTGAAGGTTACTAAAAGCCTGACAGAGGCTGCTGATATGCCATTTTAAGCATTTCCAATGATTTCTAGCTTTGTTTTCATTGAACTTAATTTTTGAAATCTATCTGTATTACTGGGATCTGCACTTTTATTCTCAATTTCCACTCGTTTTTATAAAGTATGCTAGGAGTTAGTAAACTACCAACTCATGGGCCAAATCTGACCCACTGCTTGTTTTGTCATCAAAGTTTTATTGGATGCAAATATTTGTTTACCTATGTCTGTGCCTGCTTTCACATTGTGAAGTCGAGTAGTTGTGAAAGAGACTGTATAGACCACAGAGCCTCAAATATTTATTATCTGGCCTTTTGCAGAAAAAGCGTGCTAACCTCTGAAGTAAGTGCACAACATGTATAAGTAAGCAAGCCTCCATTACTAGGTAAACATGATAATCTTGCAGAAGCAGAAATGTTGGTGCTGAAATAGTCATTCATCAGCTTAGCAAGGAAATCTACATGTGATAAAGAAAGTTATTTTAGGAGTGTTAATGTCTAAGGCTTGGAATTTATGGTTAGAGAAAAGTCAAATGTTAAGAACCACCCCACCCTGCTTCCTTAAAGCGAGGCATGCTTGTTTGGAAAGGCATGGAACTTGACCCTTTGCATGTTCAAATAGCGTTAAAGCCATATTTCCAACTGCTTCATGCAACACATAGGAAACAGTTGGACAGACAAATTCTGGTTCCCCTACTTACGTTAATACAAGGACGCTTTTGGAAGTGAGACTAGAAATCCCAGATAACTTACCATCTAAATTGTGGGATACAAGACATAAGGCCTTTGGAACAAAGGGCAGGCAAATCACAAAGCCCTTCAGAGCTGCCATCTTAGTCTAACTTAATTCAGAAATGGTCATTCATGGAGTAACTGATCATACAGAGAGCCCTTCTGGGATACTTTTGGGGATGCCATCGACCAGATACACATTGTTGGCCAAATTCCATTTTTAATGAACATTTATGGGGCACACACTGTGTGTCAGGTTCAGGATACAAAGTGAGTAAAACTTCACTCTTTGTCTTCCAGCAGCTTACTGTTACTAAGGAGACGGAGGTATAGGCAGATAAATCGCCATGCAAGTTTTGGTGGGGTGGCAGGGTTGTGTAGCAAAAGACAAAGATGGAAAGGCATACTGGAGCCAGACTGTGGAGGATTTTAAACAGCTCCATTTTTTAGAGAGACTCTGATAGCAATATCGATGATACTCGTATTTGTGATTTATAGGGGCTTGGGGAATAAGTTAAGTAAGAGAGATCATTAGAAAATTATATTGACTCTCTGGGAAGTAGCTGTTGGGGGCCTGAGCTGGGTAGGAGAATAGAAAGAAGAGAATGAATCCAAGAAACATTTCAGAGGTAGAAGGGATAGAAGTTGTTTTCTGATTAGACGTGGAGGGAGTTGTGAAAGGAAAATGTCAAAGATGACTCTAAGGCTTTTTGCTGGAGAACTGAGTAGATGGGGCCTTTAATTTCGACCCCTATGTTATTATTGCCTTTGTATCCTTGTGTCATAGTTGTTTATTTACCTATGCTCATTAAAACAGTAATTCTTTCCTTAGTGTCTGTATCTCTGATACAGAACAATGGTTCAGTCATAGTATACATTTGTTGAAGAGATTAATAAAAGAACAAGCAGGGCACCCGGGTGGCTTAGTCAGTTAAGCATCCAACTCTTGATTTCGGCTCAGGTGATGATCTCAGGGTCATGAGATCAAGCCCTGCATCAGACTCCACGGTTAATGGGGAGTCTCCTTGAGATTCTCTCCCTCTCTCTCTGCCCCTCCCCCTGCTTGTGCACACACACACTCTCTCTCTCTCTCAAATAAATAAATCTTTAAAGAAATAAAAGAATAAACAATGAAGCAATTTTAAGCTGAAGATGATGAGGTCAGTCTTAGATACATATGGAGCTTTAAAGGGCTTGTGGAACATTCAGGACAAGATGTCTGGTGAGTAGTGGATGAGTCTGGAGCTTAGGTGAAAGAGATGAGGGCAGGGAATATATCTGAATTGTTTTGTGTTTAGCTGATAGGGACCCGTGAACCAAAAAGGCATGGCCTGACGGAGAGAAGTGAGGATGAAATATGGAGGACATCAACAGTTAAGAAGTTAAAGGAAGAAAAAGGATGATTGAAATTTTCAAAAAAGCAGTTGTAAAGAGGGTCAGGGGACGGTAGTGACCTAGAAGTGAAGGCTGCAGAAACTTTCAAGAAGGAAGATAGTGGGACTTGTGAGAGGAAATCCTAGTAAGAAAAGGCTTCGGATGTCATTGACTTCTTTGGCTTTTAGGAAAGTATGTGAGACATTTGAGAAACTGAATCTTAGTTCTATCTACCATGACACCATTTATTTACATGACTGGTTTGAGTAGAGAATAAAGAATGTGAAATGCTTTATTTCATTTATTTTCTGCTTTTTTTAAAGATTTTTTAAATTTAAGTAGTCTCTGTACCCAACATAGAGCTCAAACTTACAACTCCGAGGTCAAGAGTCACATGCTCTACCATCTTAGCCAGCCAAGCACCCCTGATTGATTTTCTACTTTCAATTTTTTTTTCAAGTTTATTTTTCAGTAATCTCTATACCCAATGTGGGGCTCAAACTCACAACCCCAAGATCAAGAGTCGCAAGCTCTTCTGACTGAGCCAGTCAAGTGCCCTTGATTTTCTACTTTTAAAGCAGACATAGTAGCGAGTTCTTGTGCGTTGGCCAATTTTGACACTAATTTGCAAAGCCACATGTGAATGTGTTTGACATTCAATACAGTACTTTGCTAAAGGCAGGTGTGTTGACTTGCTAGCTGACACTAATTACTCTCAAATTTTATGTTCTTATAGACATTTTGGAGTCACATTTATTCACAAAATGAAAAGAAAAGGTCAGTGCGGTAGGCAGAATAATGTGCTCACAAAGATGCACACATCCTAATTTCTAGAACCTGTAAATATGCCATATTATATGGCAAAGGGGAATTTAAGATTGCTGATGGGATGAAAGTTGTTCATCAGCTGACTTTAAGATAGGGAGATTATCCTGGATTACCTAGGTGGGTCCAATTTGGATCCAATCACTGGCATCTTAAATATGGAAGAGGGAGGCAGAGGAAGCAATGTCAGAGTGAAGTCATGTCAGAAAGACTTTGCTGACTATTGATGGCTTTGAAGATGGAAAAGGGACTCAAGTAAAGGAATGCAGGAATCCTCTAGAAGCTGGAAAAGACAAGAAAACGGATGGTCTCTGAGTGCCTCCAAAGGGGAATGCAACCCTACCTACACCTTGATTTTAGCCCAGTGAGACCCATTTCAGGCTTCTGACCCCCAGAACTGTAAGATAATACATTTCTGTTGTTGTAAGCCACTAATACAGTCAGTATTAAAAGGCATGTAGGAAATTAACTTTCCCCCTCTTAAATTGCTTAATCAACAGAATGGGCTTTACACCTTAGTATCTCCAAGTAATTCTTTCTGAAGAACTTTCCGTCTCCAGAGAATGTGAATGCACATTGGCTCAAAAATAGCTGTTTATACCTAGATTATTCCAGCATCTTCTTTTCAAGACAAGTTGTTAAATGAACTGGAACACAGAAAACATATTGTTGTGTTGGCTGTAATAAAAAAAAATATTACATGACAGAATGGTGGGACTAATACTTTCTCAGTATTTCATAGTAAATCTGCACTGGGTTTCAGCAGTATTTGTTTTGGAAGGTTATAAGCAGAACCCATTGAAGGTAAAGTAAAAAACCTCAAAGCATATAAAATTGGAGACTTTGCATCAGGGCTAGATTTAACTTTATAAAGATCTCTGTGTTAAGAAATTTACACCTATTTTTTTGTTGTTAGTAGTAGTCAAACATGTTTGGACAGTTGAGAATATTTTCTTTACTGCTCTTTTCAGCATCTTTATAATGGGTCATGAAATGAAACATAGTAGGTTCTAAGCAAGATAAAAAGAACTCCCCCCAGTATATCTCACAGTAAATTTCTCTCATATTTTAAGTTCTCCTATTTATAGAACATTGGGCAACGCATTTATTTATTTTTTTAAAGATTCATTTATTTATTTGTGATAAAGCAAGAGAGGGGAGGGGCAGAGGGAGAGAAATCCTCCAGCAGACTCCCTGCTGAGCGCAGAGCACAACCCAGGGCTCAGTCTCAGGACCCTGAGATCATGACCTGAGCCAAAATCAGGAGTTGACCCTTAACCAACTGAGCCACCCAGGCGCCGCAGGGCAGTGCATTTAATTGAAAAATAACTGAGATAAAAAGCCAAGATTTTTGTGGTTTGTTTGGGTGTTTTTAGATCCCTCGGAAAAATAAGCCAAATACTTCTCTGCTGCTTAAAGATCATTTACTTAATAAATATAAGAGGTTGTTCTATTGATACTGCACTCAAAACTATGTTTTGAAAGAGAACACATTCTCACTGCCCATACTACTCCATCTTGATCAGTTAGAGGTTTTTGTTTGCAAATAAAAGAAACCTTCTCTGGCCAATTGAAGCAAAAAAAAAAAAAAATGTATTTACTGGTAGGTAACAAAGTAGCTCATATCGTTAAAGTAAAAGTTAAATAATTAAGCTTTGAAAAGGATGGGACTCTAGGAACACCCTGCGTAAAATTTCTAGGAAACAGTGACCACTTTTTATTAGGGCATGTTATTGCAATGTAATGATGGTCTCTTTTCCTTCCTTCCATTGCTGGACATAAGTTTCAGATTCTTGGGAGAGTCTGCCCGACCCTGTTTGAGTCATTTTCTTACCCCTTAGTCAGGGGAGTATGGCTGATTGATAACACAGCTGAGGCCCCATGCGGTGCAGAGGGAGTGTTTTTCCGGGGAAGAAACCAGCAGGGTACTAAAAAAGGCAGACAGGAGGCAATCATGGGTAGTGAAGAACAGATCTTCATTTCAGTGTTCCTGTATGAAAAGCAGTGTTTCAGGAAATTAATGAAAATATTTTATTTGAAATAAATATTTGGGGGTGCCTGGATGGCTCAGTCGATTGAGTGTCCCACTCTTGACTTTAGCTCAGGTCATGATCTCAGGGTGGTGAGATCAAACCACGAGCTGAGCTCTGCATTGGCCGTTGGAGCCTGCTTAAGATTCTCTCTCCCCTCTCCCTCTGCCTTTCCCTCTGTCCTTCCTGCCCCACCTCCCCAACACACATGCCTACGCTCCCTCTCAAAAAAAAAAAACAAAAATGAAATCTTTGCATAAGTTGTCACATGTCAAAAGAGCAAGATTTCTGTTGTTGAGCTGAAGTGGAAGAAAGGAAAAAAGAAAGCGAGAAGGAAGGGAGGGAGGGAAGGATGGAAAGTTACCCCTTTAATAGGCACATGACGAAATAAAATTTCCCAAATGCCTATTGATAACAGCGAGGCTTCAATAAATCACGTAAACATTCATTTTCTGCCTACAAGATTTGATTTCTATGAGAATAATTGTAGTGAAATTTGGTGGTTTAAAAAAACTTCCCTCTCAAAAAAGAAACCCACAACACAACACAACAAAAACAGCCCTATACGTTCAGTAACAAGCCTCACCCTGCAGTAGAGAGGAAAATAAAGAATGGACCCTCCTCATTCTTCCTCCTCCATTCCTCTTCAGGATGAAATACATATATTCACAAATGTTGTATTTGGCCCAATCCCACACAGGAAGCCTGGCTTCACCATGCAAGGAATGAGTTGGTTGGCTTACTCTGGGTTCTTGGTGTGGGCTAGAAATCAAACTTTATACTCGTTTTTTGTCTTCTTAAAAAGCTTAGGATTTTAACTAACATGAATTAAATTCTGAGTCAAATTCACATCAGCATTTGTAATTATTACTGGAAGTTAAGGGTATGTATAGAAGCACTTCCTTTGTGCTTGCAAAAAGAAAAATCATGGATCTGGCATCAAATATACCCAACTTTTGTTTCATGAGATAAGAGCAATGATTTCTGCACTGCATTTACAGCGTTTTTCTCAATCTTGGCTACCATTGCTCTGATGCAAGTCCCAGGGTCTGTCTACCATACAGAGAAAAAGGAGTTAACTTTGAAGTTTGAAACTATGACCTCATGCCTCCTTCTTTCTTAACAAGCCTTTTTTCTGTTCACTCTTTTTCCCCTAAAGGCAAAAAACTAAAGGAAATGTGAACTTTGTGTCTAACCAAGATTTTCTCTTACTGATTGTGGTAGTATTTTTGCTGATCTAGCAATAGATGTGGTCTGTTGATAAAAGAGAATGGTGGTATTGCTTTTTACTGGCAGTCATAATGGGACTGTAGTCATATGCATCATTGTTATCCTCATCACTTTCTCCTGGGGGTTCAAAAGGCTATGGTTATTAACTAAAAAAATGTGGCAGAGCTATAAACTCAGACCACATTTAAAGAACAGTAGCCTGGTGGGGCAGCGGGGTGGCTCAGTTAAGTGTCTGCCTTTAGCTCAGGTCATGATCCAGGGGTCCTGGGATTGAGCCCTGCATTGGGCTCCCTGCTCAGAGAGGAGTCTACTTCTCCCTCTCCCTCTGACCATCCCCCCCTTGCTCATTCTCTCTCTCTCAAATAAATAAATAAAACCTTTAAAGAACAGTAGCCGGGGTAGAAAATGCTGTAAAGATTTCTAATCTTGGGGCACCTGGGTGGCTCAGTTGGTTAAGCGACTGCCTTTGGCTCAGGTCATGATCCTGGAGTCCCAGGATCGAGTCCCGCCATCGGGCTCCCTGGTCGGTGGGGAGTCTGCTTCTCCCTCCGACCCTCCCCCCTCTCATGCTCTCTCTCTCTATCTTATTCTCTCTCTCAAATAAATAAATAAAATCTTTAAAAAAAGGATTTCTAATCTTGAACTTAGGAATTCTGAATATTGTTGACTTATTTGCCCTCCTTGAGAAGTCAGCACACCTGGGGTACTGACAGAATTGGTTGATCCTCTTGCAACTGTCTAGACTGCATCCTCCATCGTCCTTGTTGTACTTCTCCACTTGATGGTTCCCAGGCATGTCAGCTGTCTTTCACCAGGGCATTCATGCAGAACTTGGTAATAAGCTTGGCCAATGAGGTCTACCAGCCCACTGGCAAGATTTGGCCAAGCAACTGGATATATTGTTTAAAATTGTTTAATTCTTATTTTAAATTTTCTTCCATAAGTAGTAAGAGCCTACCTATAAATAGATTATTCTCATCAAGTTGCAGACTAAGCAAAAATAGTAATAGTTTTTCTCTTCATCCAAATGTTAGATTTAGCCACCTTCCTTTTGAATTTCAAAATAGTTATTCTTATGATAAATCCATATTTTCCCATAAACGAGAGAAATGTCAACTCTTTGTTCCATTGAGAATGGCTAGCATTCTCTACTAAGAGGTAGGAAAGGGCAACAGAAAGAGAGTACCTACCCTTAAGATTGTGTCCTTCACTGCTTATTGATTTTGAATGAGTGGGTAGTTTGTAGAGGAGTAGGTTACTCATTCATCTAGCTCAATGAAGGGTGCCTCCTTAATATGGCTTTTCTGCCGAAGAAACAGCATTTCACCTGGGGTCAGGGACTGTCATTCACCAGTATGTGAACTTGGGCAAGTCTCTAGCTTCTCTTTGGTTCCCTTATATACAAAATCGGTATGACACTGTATTTTTGTGAGAATTAAATGAGCTTTTGAGATCATCTCTTAGATGATATAAAGGCAAGAGAAGCAAACATTTACAGTCTACTTTTTCTAAAAATAAAGTTTTGGAAGAAACAATCACTGAAGTTTATCTATCTAATAAGTGACAGAACTGAAATACAATTAATGCCCAAACCCCATATTGTGCTACATACCTATTAAGGAGAATGTTTGCTTCCTCCCCCTCTTTCTGTTTCCTAAAGTGAGAAAGAAAGGCAGGGCATGAGAGTGGGTAGTAAGTGCTAACTTTTCTGTTACATGTAAGCTTTTTTTTGACAAACTAATTTCAATATTATGAGATCTTGCCATTTGCAATGACGTGGATGGAACTGGAGGGTGTTATGCTGAGTGAAATAGGTCAATCAGAGAAAGACATGTATAATATGACCTCACTGATATGAGGAATTCTTAATCTCAGGAAACAAACTGGGGGTTGCTGGAGTGGTGGGGGGTGGGAGGGATGGGGTGGCTGGGTGATAGACATTGGGGAGGGTATGTGCTATGGTGAGTGCTGTGAATTGTGCAAGACTGTTGAATCACAGATCTGTACCTCTGAAACAAATAATGCAATATATGTTAAGAAAAAAAGAAGAAGATAGCAGGAGGGGAAGAATGAAGGGGGGTAAATTGGAGGGGGAGACGAACCATGAGAGATGATGGACTCTGAAAAACAAACTGAGGGTTCTAGAGGGGAGGGGGGTGGGGGGATGGGTTAGGCTGGTGATGGGTATTAAAGAGGGCATGTTCTGCGTGGAGCACTGGGTGTTATGCACAAACAAGAATTATGAACACTACATCAAAACTAATGATGTAATGTATGATGATTAACATAACAATAAAAAAATTTAAAGGGAAAAAATATTATGTAATTAAAATCTTCTTAAACTATTTCTTTTGAAATTCTGAAACATTGATGTAGGGTTCCAAAAACATGTTTTGAAGTTTGAATGATATACACAAGAGTAATATAGACCTACCCATTTTGTGAACTATCAGAAAAGATTAAATGTACTGGCATGACTCATGATGATATGCTGTGTATCTTTCTGAAAGATATAAATCAGCTACACTTCAAGAATGGATCAGACTTTATAATACATAATTATTTTTGTTTGGTCCTTTATAATCTCTTTCTCAGATGTTTTTAAATGAAGATCTTCTTAATATAATATGTCCATGATAGCCTTCTTAAATGACCTTATCATAAAAAATATTGGATTACTAAAGTGAAAAACCTAAAGGCATAAAAACAGGTCCCAATAGAGTAGATTATAAAAGCTTAAATGTTCCAAGATGGAAAAGAAAAATCATCCTTGTAACATAATGAACATTTTACAAGATTGGCTTCAATTTAAACTAGACTAGAGCATTAAATTTTAACCCTAAGTTATAGGTCTTTGTCATAAGGTCAGTACTATTTGAATAAATGCTTATCTCTTGAATAAGAAACAGATGCTCTTGGGTTTGTGTCATTGTGCAAACTGATCAATTCATTAATGAGGTTATAGAAAGAGCATATTTTGAGGCTGATGAAGTCATGTGTTTTGATTTCATTATGTTGACTCTTCAGTTTAACTAATGGCAGCTTAAATGTTTCAACATTTAAACAATTTTTGTTTCTCCTTTTGCAGTGGCTCCACCCACACGGTTAAGATATAATGTATTATCTCATGACAGTATACAGATTTCATGGAAGGCTCCAAGGGGGAAATTTGGTGGATACAAACTTCTTGTGACTCCAGCTTCAGGTAAAAACAGTTGATTGTGTTTTCACAATTAGCAACTTTTTACATATAGATAAATCATTTGAAAGTTTTGTTTTTAATTTCATATTTGAACTTGAAATCTTACCCTCTAATCAAGGAAATAATGTTCCTAAAGTCTAAAGAGTCACTATTAGGCTCCATAATTCTCCTCAGGAGAAATTTCCAGACTATTAAAATCTTCACTACCTCTGTTTCAACATAGTATGAATACTTTTGGTCTGTTGACACTTAAAAAAAATACAATACATCTGGAAAGCCAACAGTTGTGACCAGCTGAGTAAATTATGATTAATTAACTTGATAGTATATTATTCAGCAATTATACATTAAAATGATAAAAGCTAAGTAGACACTGTGAAAATAAGTGATAAATTAAAGCAGGAAAAGTAAAAGTTAGATTTATTGATCATGAAGATAAAGTAGTTACGCAAAATTTTTTAAATTAAATTTTTGGTTTAATTTTTTTCTTCTATTTTATGTTTTTATTATACAAGTATGATCAATAAAATAATACAGAATATGTAGAGGATTTGCCATTGTTACATGGGGTCATGGAGACAAAGACGAGGTCAACAGCATGAACTGCTTGAGCTCCACACCTGGTTCTGTGGTGTATAAGAAATGTCATTTGGGGGGTGCCTGGGTGGCTCAGTTGGTTAAGTGGCTGCCTTCAGCTCAGGTCATGATCCCAGTGTCCTGGGATCGAGCCCCGCGTCGGGCTCCATGCTCAGCAGGGAGCCTGCTTCTCCCTCTCCCTCTGCCTGCTACTCTGCCTACTTGTGCTCTCTCTCTCTCTGTCAAATAAATAAATAATCTTTAAAAAAAAAAAAGAAATGTCATTTGGGCAAGTTATATAACCTCTCCGTTCTCTGGTTTCTTCCTGTGTAAAATGCACAAACAGCACTAGTTCCCACCTCATGGAGTTGTAAGGCTTGGAACTCAAAATGTGATCAGAGAATCAGCACAGGCATCAGCTGAGAGCAAATGCAGAATATTGGTCCCCATCTCCCACCTGCTGAATCAGCATCTGATCTTTACAAAGATCCCCAGATGACTCCTATGCATGTTAAATTTGGGAAGCACTTGTTGTGAGGACTAAATGAATTTATAAAGGTAAAGCACTTAGAACAGTGATGGTTAGATAGTCAGAGCTGAATCATATTGCCCGTGATGATATAAAGATGATTTGAGTATGTCTCTCAGATCTCATTTCCTTTCCTAGGATCCTGTTTCACATAGTCAGTAAGAAATATTTAATAATAGAATATTTGTATAATACATATATATATATTTATATACTTATAATAATTTTTCCTCTTTATTGGTGATAAAGATGGTTATATGGACCTGGGCTCCTTGCCGTTGGAGTCCTTTTCCCAACTCATTTAATGAGGCTGACAGATGCTCTGTTGTTTATAATTGTGGACATCTTACCCAGTGGTGGATTTAAAATCTCAAACAAAACAAACAGCTGAAACACCTGGCTTCTTGCTTGGCCATGAAAAACGAACCTTCTAGAAGGCTATTAGTAAATATTACCCACAGACTCCTTAGATTGATTCATGGTTCAGTGATACTGATGCCAACTTTACCCATGTTGGCTCACAGAAGTGACACACTTGCAGAAAGCAATATTTCATTCTCAAGCCTAGTTCAGAATTTTCATTTTGAAGTATAGCCCAATTTTGAAATAACTTTGACTTCTAAAAATGCTGTTTGCATTCTGAAATAAGCCATCATGGGGAATTCAATTCAAGTTTAAGAGATTCTTGGGGCAAGTTAAGATGGCGGAGTAGTAGGGGGACCCTGAACTTACCTCACCCCTTGAACACAGCTAGATCAAAAAGCAAATCATTTTGAACAACTAGGAAATCGATCTGAGGATTAGGAAAACAATCTGCACAATTAGAGGGAGAGAACATGGCAGACATGAGGTTTGGAGATGTGAATTGGGGGAGAGAAAAGCTGCGGTGTCACGGAGGGAAGGAAGCCCTTTTTGCAGAGAGAAGACAGAGAAAGAGGGGGAGAGGAAGAGAGAGAGTGGAGGCTGGAGCTGCTTACACCAAACCCAAAAGGTCAACACCAAGAAATATCATAGTGAAACTTGCAAAATACAAAGATAAAGAGAGAATTATGAAAACAGTGAGGGACAAAAGGTCCTTAACCTACAAGGGTAGACATAAGGTTAGTAGCAGACCTGTCCACAGAAACTTGGCAGGACAGAAGAGAGTGACATGATATATTCAGAGTGACATGATATATTCAGTATGCTGAATGGGAAAAAATGCAGTCAAGAATAGTATATCCAGCAAGGCTGTCATTCAGAATAGAAAGAGAGATAAAGAGTTTCCAAGACAAGCAAAAACTAAAGGAGTTCGTGAACACCAAACCAGCTCTGCAAGAAATATTAAAGGGGACGCTTTGAGTGGGAAAGAGAAACCAAAGCAACAAAGACTAGAAAGGAACAGAGACAGTCTACAGGAATGGCAACTTCACAGGTAATACAATGGCACTAAATTCATATCTATCAATAATTACTCTGAATGTAAATGGACTAACTGCCCCAATCAAAAGACATAGTGTATGAGAATGGATAAAAAAAACCAGACCCATTGATATGCTGCTTATAAGAGACTCATAGACCCAAAGACACCTCCAGATTGAAAGTGAAGGGGTAGAGAACCATTTATTATGCTAATGGACATCAAAAGGAAGCTGAGTAGCCATCCTTATATCAGGCAAACTAGATTTTAAACCAAAGACTGTAGTAAGAGATGAAGAATGGCACTGTATCATAATAAAGGGGTCTGTCCAACAAGAAGATCTAACAATTGCAAATATTTATGCTCCCAACTTGGTAGTAGCCAAATATATAAATCAATAATAACAAACTTAAACTCATTGATAATAATGCAATAATAGTAGGGAACTTTAATACCCTACTCACAGCAATGGACAGATCACCTAAGCAGAAAATCAACAAGGAAACAATGGCTTTGAATGACAGACTGGAGCAGATGGACTTAACAGATATATTCAGAGCATTTCTTCCTAAAGCAGCAGAATACACATTCTTTTCAAGTGCACATGGAACATTCTCCAGAATAGATCACATACTGGGTCACAAATTGGGCCTCAACCAGTACAAAAAGATGGAGATCATACCATGCATATTTTCAGGCCACAGTGCAATTAAACTTGAAGTCAACCGTAAGAAAAAATTTGAAAAGATCACAAATGGAGGTTAAAGAACATCCTACTACAGAATGAATGGGTTAACCAGGAAATTAAAGAAGAAATAAAAAAAAATACATGGTAGCAAATGAAAATGAAAACACGACAGTCCAAAACCATTGAGATGCAGCAAAGGCAGTCATGTAAGAGGGCAGTATATAGCAATTCAGGCCTTCTTCAAGAAGCAAGAAAAGTCTCAAATACACAACCTAACCTTATACCTAAAGGAGCTGTAAAAAGAACACCAAATAAAGCCTAAAACCAGCAGAAGAAGAGAAATAATAAAGATTAGAGCAGAAATAAATGATACAGAAATTTAAAATCCAGTAGAACAGATCAACACAATGAGGAGCTGGATCTTTGAAAGAATTAACAATACTGATAAACTCCTAGCCAGACTTATCAAAAAGAAAAGAGAAAAGTCCCAAATAAATAAAATCATGAATGAAAGAGATCATAATCAATACAACAGAAATACAATTATAAGAGAATATTATGAGCAATTATATGCCAACAAATTGGGCAATCTGGAAGAAATAGATACATTCCTAGAAACATATAAATGACCAAAACTGAAAAGGAAGAAATAGAAAATTTCAACAGACCCATAATCAGCAAAGAAATTGAAACAGTAATCAAAAATCTCCCAACAGGGGCGCCTGGGTGGCTCAGTCGGTTAAGCGACTGCCTTCAGCTCGGGTCATGATCTCAGGGTCCTGGGATCGAGCCCCGCATCGGGCTCCCTGCTCGGCGGGAAGCCTGCTTCTCCCTCTCCCACTCCCCCTGCTTGTGTTCCCTCTCTTGCTGTCTCTCTCTCTCTGTCAAATAAATAAATAAAATAAAGATCTTTAAAAAAAAAAAATCTCCCAACAAATGAGTCCAGGGCCAGATGGATTCCCAGGGGAATTCTACCATTTAAAAAAGAAGTAATACCTATTCGTCTGAAACTGTTCCAAAAAATAGAAATGGAAGGAAAATTTCCAAACTCATTCTATGAAGCCAGCATTACTTTGATTCCGAAACCAGGCAAAGGCCTCACTAAAAAAGAGAATTACAGAACAATATCCCTGATGAACATGTATGCAAAAATTCTCAACAAGATACTAGCCAATCAAATCCAACAGTACATTAAAATGATTATTCACCACGATCAAGTGGGATTTATTCCTGGACTGCAAGAGTGGTTCAATATCTGCAAATCAATCAATGTCCATACACCACATTAAAAAAAGGACAAGAACCATATGATCCTCTCAGATGCAGAAAAAGCATTTGATAATATACAGCATCCTTTCTTGATAAAACCCTCAAGAAAGTAGGATAGAAGGAACATATCTCAATATCATAAAGGCCATACATGAAAGACCCACAGCAAATATCATCCTCAATGGGGAAAAACTGAGAGCTTTTCCTGTAAAGTCAGGAACATGGCAGGGAAGTCCACTCTCATCACTGGTGTTCAGCATAGTACTGGAAGTCCTGGCCTCAGCAATCAGAAAACCAAAAGAAATAAAAGGCATCCACATTGGCAAAGAAGAAGTCAAACTTTCACTCTTCACAGACATGATACTCTGTGTAGAAAACCCGTAAGTCTCCACCAAAAAATTCCAAGAACTGATACATGAATTCAGCAAAGTCGCAGGATGTAAAATCAATGTACAGAAATCTGTTGCATTTCTATACACCAATAATGAGGCAGCAGAAAGAGAAATCAAGGAATTGATCCCATTTACAACTGCATCAGAAAGCATAAGATACCTAAGAATAAACCTAACCAAAGAGGTAAAAGATCTGTACTGAAAACTATAGAACACTTATGAAAGAAATTGAAGAAGAAGACACAAAGAAATGGAAAATCATCCCTTGCTTATGGATTGTAAGAACAAATATTATTAAATTGTCTATACTACCCAAAGCAATCTATGCATTCAAGGCAATCCCTATCAAAATACCACCATCATTTTTCACAGAGCTAGAATAAACAGTTCTAAAATTTGTGTGGAAACAGACAAGACCCCGAATAGCCAGAAGAATGTTGAAAAAGAAAACCAAAGCTGGGGGCATCATAATTCCAGACTTGAAGCTGTATTACAAAGATGTAATGATCAAAACACTATGGTACTGGCACAAAAACAGACACATAGTTCAATGGAACAGAATAGAGAATGCAATGGACCCACAACTCTATGGTCAACTAATCTTCGACAAAGCAGGAAAGAACATCCAATGGTAAAAAGACAATCTCTTCAACAAATGATGTTGGGAAAACTGGACAGCGACATGCAGAAGAATGAAACTAGACCACTTTCTTACGCCATACAGAAAAATAAATCCAAAATGGATGAAAGACCTAAATGTGAAACAGGAAACACTCAAAATCCTAGAGGAGAACACAGGCAGCAACCTCTTTGACCTTGGCCGCAGCAACTTCTTGCTAGACACAAACTGCAGAGGCAAGGGAAACAAAAGCAAAAATGAACTATTGGGACTTCATCAAGATAAAAAGCTTCTGCACAGTGAAGGAAACAATCAAAAAACTAAAAGGCAACCTAAGGAATGGGAGAAGATATTTGCAAATTACATATCAGATAAAGGGCTAGTATCCAAAATCTATAAAGAACATATCAAACTCAACAGGCAAAAAATAATCTAGTTAAGAAATGGGCAGAAGACATGAACAGACATTTCTCCAAAGAAGACATACAAATGGCCAGGAGGTACATGAAAAAATGCTCAACATTACTCTGCATCAGGGAAATACAAATCAAAACCACAATGAGATACCACCTCACACCTGTCAGAATGGCTAACATTAAGAACTCAGGAAATAACATATGTTGGCAAAGATGCAGAGAAAGGGGAACCCTCTTACACTGTTGGTGGGAATGCAAACTGGTACAGCCACTGTGGAACATAGTATGGAACTTCCTCAAAAGGTTAAAAATAGAAATACCCTATGACCCATCAATTGCACTATGAGGTATTTATCCAAAGGATAAAAAAATACTGATTCAAAAGGGCACATGCACCCCAGTGTTTTATAGCAGCACTATCAACAATAGCGAAATTATGGAAAGAGAGCCCAAATGTCCATCAACTGATGAATGGAAAAAGAAGATGTGGCATATATACAAAAATATATACATATATATATACACACACACGTATATATATATATATATACGTATACATATATGGAATATTAGCCATCAAAAGGAATGAAATCTTGGCATTTGCAGCAACGTGGATGGAACTAGAGTGTATTATGCTAAGCAAAATAAGTCAGTCAGAGAAAGATAAATACCATATGATTTACTCATATATGGAATTTAAAAAACAAAACAGATGAACATAGGGGAAGGGAAGAAAAAATGAGATAAAAACAGAGAGGGAAGCAACCCATAAGAGACTCTTAACTGTAGAGAACGAACTGAAGGTTGCTGGAGGGGAGGTGGGTAGGGGGATGGGCTAAATGGGTGATGGGCATTAAGGAGGGCACTTGTTGTGATGAGCACTGGGTGTTATATGTAAGTGATGTATCATTAAATTCTACTCCTGTAATCAATACTACACTGTATGTTGACTAACTTGAATTTAAATAAAAGCTTGGAAGAAAAAAAAGATTCTTGAACATCATTATGACTTTAAAGGTCAAAATACGAGTTTCCAATTTGTGGTACCTCTGAGAATTCCCCATATCTGATCTTGAAAGTTTATTTTTTCCTCCAGGTAATTGGTGTTTTAACTTTCCCTGATTAATTACTGATAATACTAAACTATTCAGTATACCATGTAGGTGGCATTAAAGAATCAGGGAGTCTTAGAAGTGACTTGTATAGCCTCTGACCCAAATCTCAGCCACATCTTCAATCCCCTCTGCCACAGCACACCCACAAAGCAAACCTCCAGCTCTTACTTAAACACCTCCAGAGACAAAATAAAAATTGAGGGTGAAAGCAAATTATTTCTTCATGAATACTGGTTATATTTTTTCCAGTGACTCAGTGTCCTTACTACAGTGACCCAAGCCAGTAAGACGGTGTTGACACTCTGTTATCTACTTGATCAAACATAAAATAGAGTGAATAAAAAAGTAATAAATGCATCCAGACACAAAATGTAGACATTTTAGCACTGCAAGACGTGTTCCAAATACAGTTTATAGCAGTCTTTCCCAAAGCGCATTCCATGGTAATCTGCAAGATGCTCATAACTATTATACAACTATTTAAATGGTTTAATGGCCAAAGAAATTTAAGAAGTCCTATTTTTTTTAAAGATTTTATTTATTCATGAGAGACAGAGAGAGAGAGAGAGAGGCAGAGGGAGAAGCAGGCTCCCAAGGAGCAGGGAGCTCGATGCGGGACTCGATCCCAGGACTCCAGGATCATGACCTGAGCCGAAGACAGACTCTTAAGCATCTGAGTCACCCAGGCACCCAAGAAGTCCTATTTTAAAGAGTTTAAAGCCTTTTCATTGCAGAATTCTCAAAGCCTTTAGTAAAAATAATACACCTATGCCTCTCAGGGATTCTAATACAGAGTATTCTAAGAAACTTTTTTTTCTTAGTGAAACACACATCAAGAAAGATTTATGTGGTGCACTTTGTAGTAGATGAGCTTTAAATAACAGACGTTTGTGAAACTGGGTTTAATATCTTGGACATAAGTGCATTTGGCAAGAAAAAGGCTCAGTTCTGCCTTCTAGTAGCAGGCAGTGTGGATGATAGCAGCATCAAATTCCAGACATAACATCATTAATTTTATGAGACTATGATTACAATATATTGTAATCTGTGTTATGTTTAATTCATTCAGCAAATTTCGGATCCTTTTTGCTGTTAGGGCTAGCAGGGCGGAAGCTTTAAATTTCTCCTTTCTCAGACTTAGTACCTACTGCCAGAAATTAGAAAAGAAAGGCATATTTGGAATTTCGCCTAAAAGTTGAGTACTTAACCAACAGTATTTCCACGAAAGCCTTAGATGTCAGTCTAATTTGATGGAGAGATAATGAAGGTTTGAAATCTTTTCACGATGCAAGCTAACGTTTAAGTAGCCGGGCAGTGATTGGTTCTGTCAACATCCTGAGCCAGTTACGCTCAGACTTAATATAATTACATTGCTAATGCTTTAGGGATGCTTTGACTCAGTTTAGAGAGACCATAGCAAAAATTCCAGCGTAGATAATGGCACTCAGTCTGCCTTTATCTTTCCCTTCACTTTTAAGTGGAATTCTTTCCTTGAAGACTGTATCTGATGTTGAGGGCTTACTGTCTTCTAATCCTGTACTATGGCTTTCCCTAGTGTGTAAAAGCAATAATGCATTATGATGAAAGATTTTTGTAAATGTGTTTTGTCTAAATTAGACAAGTTATCTAATGCAAAGAGTACAACCAAGAATGATAAAGAACAATGTTAAATTTAAGTGCTATGTGCCTATGCACCATTAGATATATATTTAAGTGTTTTCACCTTTTAAAATCTTGATTGCTGATTAATAAATTTTCTTAATGTATCTAGTTAACCTGTTTCTTAGTACTGATTTATCTTTTTGTTTTATTATAGGTGGCAAAACCAATCAGTTGAATCTCCAGAACACTGCAACTAAAGCAATTATTCAAGGTCTTATGCCAGACCAGAACTACACGGTTCAAATTATTGCATACAACAAAGACAAAGAAAGCAAGCCAGCCCAAGGTCAATTCAGAAGTACGTATTTACAGTTCTTAAAGTGCTACCATGGGACTCTGTTCCAGCTCTGAGTTTGAATCTGTGGTAAATATTGTAACAGGTTAAAATTGGATTGTTTAGATGAAGACATCTTGAAAGATATTTAGTGAAATCATCCATGAGTTCCTTCTATCACTAATACACTTCTGCCCCTCCCTTAACCTGTTGCACTGCATGCCTATTTAAATCCTCTAAGTTTTACATCTCAAATGCTCTCCCTCACACTGTCCTTGGAACCTTACCCAGACATCTCATCTGCCCGGTACCTAATAGGTGCTCAATGAATACTTACGAGTGATTCAGTGGATGATGCCTGCACCTGCTTTATAGTATCCCTAGCAAATGCCAGTCTAGCCTCTACGTAAACAATCTATACAACACGGAATTTAACTCTTTTTAATAATGAATCAGTTGACTTTTATCATCGGCCTATTATGTGCCAGGTCCCATGACAAAGAGCTCTGTGAACATGGTAAGTGTTAGGGAGAGAGATATGTTCCGGCCTCTATGAAGGGAGATGCTCTCTCTGTCCCAATAATGGGCTGGGATAAGAATGATGGGGGATGGCTTCATATTTGAGCCAGTTCTCAAATAGCAAGTTGGGCAGACAGGGAAAGGCAGGGCATGCCAAGATATTCTAAGCAATGGAGAAAGCTTTGAGGCAGCCCAATCTATGTTATTAGAATGCCTTTCCTATATTAAGTTTAAAAGTTGTTCTTACAGGCTGTGCTTCTTCTGTCTTTCAGGAGATAGATATTCATTCATTTATTCTTTTTTTCCCATTTAACAAATATATATTGCATGGCTACTAAGTGTCAGGCCTTATTTTAGGCACTGGGAACATAACAAGCCACTGCCCCCATGGACCTTATATTCTTGTGAGCAGAGACCCCAGCAACTACCTCTTCCTGGGAGTGGTCATTCATATATGGACGGCAAAAGTGTTTTTTTTTTTTTAATGTATTGTGAATGCAAACAGAAGAGGCCTGTCCTGGTTAACTTTCTGTTTACTTCATTGTTAATATAGACTCTTTAAAAATTCCAATTTTTAAGGGATAATTTTAAACATATTTTAAAAAATCAGCAGGATAGTATAATAAACCCCTAAGTATCCATCAGTCATTTCAACAATGAACTATTCATGGCCAATCTTATTTCATATACTATCCTCCCCCCCCCATTCTGCCCTAATTTTGAGGCAAATTCTGGACATCGTTTCAAATAACAATAGCTTTTCAAATCCTGCCATTAGATTAATCCACAAATCTGGGAGGCTGTGGGATTTATCCATGAATCTAGAACTGTGTGTGTAGCAGTGTTCCAGCTGGATTTTCTGCCCCTCTCTCCTTTTTTTTTCTTCCTCTTCTAAGTAATGTTTTATGACATATATTTTGTGATTTTTTTAAATTAAAAAGCCCCCAACTTGGTTAACCTGCTACCTCTTAAAATTTCTGAACAAAGACATTTGGTAAATCCACCTGTTAGTAGGACATGCAGATGTTTTAAACATGACATTCTTTTGTGATTCACATTATCTGGAAGCTCTGGAAAAGGTTTTTTATGTTACTTCCAATATAAATCAGCTTCTTTCTGCCTTTATTGGCACTATACTTGCATTTCTGGCCTCTGACATTTCAACATGAGTCAGCGAAATAACTCTTCTTAAAGTTTATGGGAAGCAGTGAAAGGACATGGAGACATTTTACTTTAGACTGAAGGCATTGCAATTGATTATTCCAGATAGTCCATTGACTGAGCATCCTAACAAACAGGTAACCTGAAAAATCTTTGCCAATAGCTAGTTACTCAGAACACTTCAAAGGAAATGCAGTTGTTTTCAGCTTGCTTAGCTCTGCTGAAATAATCTTATTGAGACAGTCTAACTGGTAAGTTGGATAACTTATATGTAAGCAGATATATTTTTTAGCTACATCATTATTATTGTCACGGATTAGTTCTTTCCAAGTAAAAGTTTGCAACAGTGATATTAAAAGAACTTTGGATGGTTTTCTTTTTCATTTTGCTCCTTGTGAGATGGAGCTAAAGTCTGGTTTCCCCTCCCTGGAAAACTTACACGGTTGGGTCCAGGAAAATGATGATCCAGACAAATGCTGTGCATCTAAGTTTGCAGTTAGTGTAGAGATTTGAAGTCCTCATAAGTCCATCTTCTGATACACAGGGAAGCATGAGAAACAATGCTTTTGGATTTTGAAGATAGAAAGACATGTCTGATCTGGTGTGTGTATTTGGCCAAGCAAATCAAGCATGGCCTCAAGTTTTCTCATCTGCAAGTGGGGGTAATGATATAGGCCTATTACTGTGGGTTAATGCACTTCAGCACATAGTAGGACATGGTTGCTCTTGTCATGATTAATGCCACTTTGCTTATGACAGTCTGTTTTCCAGTTTAGTTTGCCTCCTGCATGAGGAAGACAGCAGCTTGGTGTGACATTGACATATGTGTTGCATCTTATATGTAACCTAGGGGCACAGTTGAAAGTGACTGTTATATATATTATATATGTATATAATATCAGAATGGTTTATGGCTCTATTTTGGCAAATTTTCTTTTTGGCCTCCATTTTCCTCTCTGGAATGACATTTTGCTAATCTCTGCCTGCAAAATCTTGCTCATCTTTCAAGTCTGGCTCAAATGTCACCTTCCCTGTGAAGTTTCCCTAAGTCTCCACCTCTGGAATTATTCTTTGCCAGATCTATTTCTGCTTCTATGAACACTCAGCACATTTGTTCTCATATTAAAATGGCAGATTTCTTTTACAGGATGTAAGCAACTGGAGGCCATGACCTATGGGTGGGTGGGGTTGAAGATGTATATTTGGAAATTATCCACAGAAGGGTGAGCATTAAAATTGTGGGCAATAAAATTATAGGCGGGGTGTGCAGAGATACAGGGCAAATTTAGTATATGATCATGTTTCAGGAATGGAAGCAGAAAAAGGATCCAAAAAATGAGAATATAAAGGACGGGTCAGAGGAATACAAGAAAATCCAGGATAATGCCTTTGTAAAACTGACAAAGAAAAGAATTTAAAGAAGGGGGTGTTCCAAAGTGGTTAAGGCTTGTAAAGAAGTCAGAGAGTGAGGTCTGAAAAAAATGGATTTAGAAAGTTAGAGGGTCAGTGGGAACAGCAGGATCAAGGCATCTTATTATTATTATTATTATTTTAATCTTGGAATTTAACCTCTAGGTACCAGAAAACCAAGGATGGTTTCTAAGGAAACAAATAACAGAACTAGAGCAACATGACCTTGGCAACTGGCAAGTCTCAAACCCCTTCAGCAGAGGGATGGAAATCAGTAGAAAGAAGGGGGGGGCGGATGATAGAGACAGGGTTAATGGAATAATACCCTAGAGAAGGCAGAAAGGATGGTTCAGAGGAAATCATCCCTTCCCCTACATAGCCCACCCTGCAATAAATCTGCTGATTTCCATTAAGTGAATGCAACAATTAAATGCGATAGCTCACCAGAGGATCCCTTCTGCCTTTTCATGGGTGTTTTATTTGTGCAGAAACCATTGCCATTGGTGGTGGTCTGAGCTGACGCAGACAAATTAAGGTGCCAAGCAATAGCAGGAAACTGCTATGGAGTATAAGCAGTGGAAAGTGAAGGCATGAAGGAGTAGATTGGTATGGGTATATTAATTCTGGGCCCCTGAATAGTTCATACTGAAACTGACAAAGAAATACTACTACTTATTAGTAGGGAAGCTTTTTTTTTTTAAGTTTGGAAGGAAATTGTTTTGGATTCTTCACCTTCTATTGCAGACAGACCAACTCCAAATGAAGATATTCATGGCCAAGATCTTTCTAGAACAGGGGCCAACTCATAGGCCTTGTTCAGAGACCAGAAGGTATGGCTTGAATCCTAGGCCAATACTTTCTGGTTTTATGAAATATGTTTTAATTACTTAGCCTCCTGGTCTTTCCTTCCCTCATGTAGGAAAAGGGGGTAATCATGCTGATTTTATAGCAGGTTGAATTTATTTGATACATCTGCCCATAGTGAGTACTCGACCAAAGGAATTCCTTTGATACATCTGCCCATAGTGAGTACTCGACCAAAGGAATTCCTTAAGTGTTTTCCACACCTTCCCATGAGGAGGTGAAATAAAATAGCATTTCCAGTCTTTGGGAATGGAATTCTACCATGGAGCTAATTTCTACCTAATACTCTCGATACTTGCAAGGGTTTTAGTAAAAATCATTGAATATTTTCTTTTAGACTTTAACACGACATGTTGCTATGTTTCTCCTTTCCTTCCAGTTAAAGATTTGGAAAAAAGAAAGGAACCAAAACCCAGAGTCAAGGTTGTGGATAAAGGAAATGGGAATAAACCGTCTCCACCTGAGGAAGGTCAGATTTTTTTTTTATTTGCTCATTTGGGGGTTGAGTTGTTTTAATAACACAAGCAATACACACATACCTGGCCATTGGCCCCATCATGACACTCCTCCCCTCCTCATACCCGCTGCCACTACTTTTGTCTCCCTTCCTCTCCATCTTCAGTACCTTGCCAAGTTCTCGTGGATTTATTTTCTGTTGAAATACTGGACAGAGTCTGTTCATTTCTTTCCATGTCCATTGCCAATACTCAGCAAAGCTGCCATTTCTTTTCTGGTATACAGGATTATTTAGCAAAATCTCAATTTGTTTTCTACTGAGAAGCTTGAAGAATCTTTTCAAAACAAATCTGACCTTACGCTCTCCCCACACACACCTTAGAACCCGTTCAATAGCTTCCCACTGCTCTTGGACCTTCAAGCCCTACCTACCCTTGGAATTTACCTGTCCCTTCCTCTCCTTCCTTATCAAACAGCTCACTGCTTTCTAGCCCCGCCGGCTCTTTCAAATCCTTTAAAGATCTGGTCTCTCTCTGCTGCACTGTCTGCATGAGACACTCTCCCCCATCATCCACTCTGCGTAAATACCTCCTCTTTTACCTGCAAGGCTCTTTCTTTGAAACACTTTCCTGACTACTGTCCTCCTTTACAGGCTCTCATATAACAACTGATTTTCCTTCACAGCATTTGCCATAGTTATAATTTCACATTTCCTGAATTGGATCCTTATCTCATTAATTTTCAATGATTCTCCTTTTTGTTATATCCATTTTTAAGACTAAAATATCCAAGTACTGCTTTAGCTGTATCATGTAGATTTTGAGATTTATTATTAGCATTATGTAGCACATACTATTTTCTAATTTCCAGTAGGCTTTCTATTTTGATCCACAAGTTACTTAGAAATGTATTATTTAATTTCCTTTTTTTAGATTTTATTTATTTATTTATTTATTTAGAGAGTATATGAGCAAGGGGAGGGGTAGAGGGAGAGGGAGAGAGAATATCAAGCAGACTCTGCCCTGAGTGTGGAGCCTGTCACAGGGCTCAAACCCACAACCCTGAGATCATACATCAACCCACAAGAGTTGGACACTCAAGTGACTGAGCCACCCAGGTGCCCCAGGATTGTATTATTTAATTTCTAAACTTATGGAGAGTTTTAAAAAAGATATTTATTTGTTTTTGGTGTTTAGCAAATTGCATTGTGATTGGAATATTTTTTAAAAATTTGTGGAGACTTATTGTTTAAATGTGGGCAATGAGAAAAATTTTAATCTCTTTCTCTAATGTATGATTTGTCCGTTTCTCTTTGTAACCCTGGTAATTTTCCTTTAAATAATGGGCTAGGTACATGTAAAATAAAAGTTGTATTTTCTCAGGGAGTTTTTCTTTTGTAATGGTTCTCTTTAGTTTTAGTAATTGAATATTTGACTTGAAGACAGTTTTGTTTAATATTAATATAGCAGTACCAGCTTAATTTTCTTTAGTAGTCACATAATACATTGATTCTCTATCCTTTAACTTTCACCCTATTTGTGTCCTCAGGTTTAAGGTAAGTAATCTTGTGAAGAGCATTTAGTTAGATTTATAATATTATCTCTTACAATCTCTGTTTTTTGATTGGTGACTTTAGTCTACTTAGATTTGTTGAAGTTACTGAAAAGTTTGGATTTGCTCCTTGTTGTGTGCTTTCTATTACTGTACATTTTTCCCTGTGTTTTCCCTCCTGTATGCCTGATTTATTTAGAATTGGTCAGTTTTTTTAAAATGCATCCCCCCCCCCACTGAACTAAAAGGTATTAGTAAAAAAAAAAAAAAAAACCACAAAATTTTGTATACATTAACTTCAATTATCCGTCTCCTGTATTTTACATAATTCATGGCAAATACATTTAGTTTATTTTTTGTAAACTCATATATATATAAACTCATAAATATAATAACTCATGAAGTTATTATATTTATAATTATTATTTGAACAGCCAGGGTTTGTCTAGATTTTCCCATGTGTATGAATTTATTTGCTCAGCATTCCATCTTGTATGTCAGACCTTCTCTACATGTTCAGTTTCCTTTAGAGAAGATATGTGTTGATAAACTCAATTTTATTCATACCAAAAATATCTTCACCAACCCCCCTTGATGTTGAAAGATTAGCTGGGTGCCAGGTTGAGCGTTGTTGTCTCCAGCCATTTAAAAGATGTGTCACTATCTTCTGGCTCTTGTTTTTGACAAGCCTGTTGTCAGTCTAAAGGTTGTTCATTTTCAGGTCATTTCTCTTGCACCACACCTACACCTCTGTCTATTTGTCTATCATCTATCATCTCTCTTGTTGTATCTGATATCTACCTTAGACCCGTATCACAGAATTCATTCTTACCCCTCTCTTTCCATATTTATAACCCTTTTGCAAGAGCCTTGGGAAACATGGCTCCCAATATCTTAAATATATCTGCTTACATTCTCAATCATAAAAGTAGTTTTAGAATTTCAAATCTATACACACAGTAAAAAAATCTATTAATTAGAGTTCACTATATGCCTTTAGTGTGGGTGTATAATAAAACATCTGTGTTCAAAAGGATCTTGGGTTAGTTCTTTTCTTCCCTATTCATTGTGGTTTTGTCATTCATTTTTAATACAGCTGGATTAATTTATGAATGCATAAACATTAATGTGGTTCCAAGAACAAAAAAATTATACAAAGGGGTAATACTCAAGAGAAGTATCACTTTCCTTGTTTCATCTACCTAGTTTTACTCACCCCTTCTAAATAACCAAACTCATTAGTTTCTGATTTATCTTTCCTATTTCTTTAAAAAAAAAACAGATTTGTAAATATTTTTCTGGAGGATTTTACATGTAAGTTCTCAGCTGAGTTTTGGCTTAGCATTCTTCACCATGTGGTGCTTTAAAAATGGCACTCAAGGTGAAATCTATCTTCTATCCATGGATTAGAGTTGGCCACAGAATTTAGTTATAGCTTGATATTCCTAAATATCCTAAGTTCTTTATTTTTTCCCTGATTCACCTCCTCCTGCCCTTTAAAATGAAAGATCACGTGAAGCGAATGAAATACAGGAAAATGGACAATGAAAAAGTAGGAATCACTTGGACATGTGCTTTGATAACTGTGATGAACACCCAACACAGATCTTCTCTAAAGGAAATTGCACATGTAGAGAAGGTCTGACGTACAAGATGGAATGCCGAGCAAATAAATTCATACACATGGGAAAATCTAGACAAACCCTGGCTGTTAAAATAATAATTATTATAAATATAATAACTTCAGCAGTACATTTGCTTTACTCACTAAACACGATTATAGGGGCACCTGGCTGTCTTACTCGGTTAAATGTCTGCCTTCAGCTCCAGTCATGATCCCAGGGCACTGGCTGTGGGGGAGAATTGTCTTAAAAAGTAAGTTGTCAACAGTGGCAACAATCCAGGCAAGAGTTAGGGCTCCCAGGAGATTGGGGAAGAATGTTCACAGGGCCCGAAGGCAACAAGAAGGCCTTCCCCACCCGAGTTGTGATGTACCACTTGCCACATCCCCTCTTCCAAATGCGTTAGTCCCATGATTCTCAGTGAACTCCGCTGCTCCTTGTTTTGTTTACAGTCTACAATTTTTGGTCCAGGAGTCGACATTTATAGTCGTTCAGATACAATCAGACATATTTCACATAATTTAGAATTTTGGTTTAAATGTAAAGAGCTAAGATCCTTAACAGAAGTTGCTGTGCAGCTAAAGAGTTACTTGCTTTCAATTAACTGTACATGTTTCTTCAATAATCCAAAACAAACTCACAAACAAAAGTGGTATTTGCCTTTGAGCATAATACTGGCATGTTTGCCTCAACGGCTCTTTCTCCTTTGTTGTCCAAACAGCTTTCTTCAGTTATTTTTGGTGTTTTGCACAAGAATGCAGAACCCAATTGAAAAAGATTATGAAACAGATAGGAAAAGTTGCATAGAGTTTGTTTTTTTTCCCTCTTTGTGGTTTTTCAATTAAGACCTCTGACCCGCTTTGCTTTTTTTTTTTTAATGAAATAATTTTTTCTTTTTTTTTTTGGTTTTCTACAATGGGGAGATAAGGTGAGGGTCTTTTTTTCCTAGGAAAAAAATGAAATGAGCACAAGTTATTCTTTTGAGGATTGGCAAACTATGTCTCACAGGCCACGTACAGTCTTGTTTTCTTAGATAAAGTTTTATTGGAACATAGCTGTGCTTGATCCTTTACATATTGTCTGTAGCTGCTTTCCCACAAAACCCGAGCTGAGCAGATGCAACAGGTATCCTATGACCTGCAAAGACTAAAACATTTCCTATCCTGCCCTCTTCAGAAAAAGATTGCTGTTTCTTATTTTTGAATGTGCTGGAACAGAATCATCTGATGAACCGAGTAATTTATTTCTTTCCTGAGAACAGCTGCTCTATGTTGGCATTTCCAGTAAGGATTGCATAGATGTGCTCTCCCATGTAAACCTTCAGTGGATGCTGCTTCTCATACTAGCTATCCCATTTGACTTTTTTTTAAATCTGAAACATGGCAACTCCCAAAAGTTGGTTGTGAGATTAAATTAGTTAACATGTGTCAAGTGCCTAGAACGTAGTAAGTGCTACAGAAGTATTGGCTACTGATACTACAATGTATAGTTTGCATGAATCAATATAATCATAGGCCAATCTTTTATGTTATTCATTTAACAATAAATGCATAGAGGAAGTTTGGTGATTACCCCTTAGTGCTGAGCACTGTGTTAGGCACTGGGAATTAACTGGTGATCACAGTAGACAGGATTCTACCCTCACTCAACTAATATAGTCTGGCAGGGATCAGCATCCTTAGAGAGGAGTCAGGTCTGCATTACGTATCATCATTATGGTTGAAAACAGCCAGGACACATGATTATTCTGAAGGTGTATTTTTACTTGCTAGGTTTGCTTATTTCCTGTTAATAGTTTTATGGTTTCTTGGCTCACAGTTAAAAGATAAATTTGAAATTT